AGCAGCAAATCAGCATATTAGAATGATTTCTGAAGATCATGTGACACTGAAGACTGGAGGAATGATGCTGAAAATACAGCTGCGCATCACAGAAATACATTACAGTTTAACAGATATTCATAGAAAACAGCTGTTTTAAAATGAAATAATATTTCAAATTTTTACTCCATTTTTGATCAAATAAATGCAGCCTTGGTGAGCAGAAGAGACGTCTTCAAAAAACATTTAAAAAATCCAAACTTTTGACTGGAAGTGTATGCATAAAAAGGTCTATAAAGGCCTAAAGAAAAAATATTGATCAGAGAGCCTCAATTTATCAACTTTACCAAAGATGTTTCTCATAAAATTCCTTAGGAGTATATATATATAATAAAATAAAAAAAGTATGTTTTTGTTTTGTCCTGCAATGAACATAAAATTTACATTAGCCTGAAAATAAAGGTAAACAGCCAATCAGACTCCAATTCCTAGATAATGTGCAAATCTGTTAGCATTTATTTTCGGCATTTTAGGCTGAAGACACGTGATATACACAGGGAAACAGAGCAAGATACAGATAGAGAACTTCAGTGTTATCTGAGAGAGAGTTAGCTCCACCAAGTGGCTCAAAATTCAATACTAAGCAGCAATGAAGCCCAGTCTTCACCATGGTTGATCTTCAATCTTTTTAAACCCTCATGACTTTACTTTCACAAACAAACATTTAAAACCACACAATCCTGATTCTACAAGCCCCAGCCTTATTTTTAAAGTGAAGGAATGGCTCTGCTATTGTAAATATTACAAAAAACAAACTCCACGTCCATCTTTATCTGACCTTGGCAGAGTTTGATGCCCTGCGATTAATCTGGACAGACCGCGAGTCTGCTTCGATTGTCAGAAATCAGACAGGCCTTGGGCAATATTTCAATCTTTCAGAGCGTATGCAGTCTATATATATTATTAAGCGATTTGTACATCCTGTTTCCAGAAGTGAAGTTCTCCCGTCAAACTTATAACCCGAATGAAGTCTCCATCCTTTAACGCTTGAGATGTCAAGGTCACGAAAACGAGAAGCTCCGGAAAACTTCCCCCAGCAATAATAAGCATGACAAATGCACAGACACAAGCCTCCGTATCCCACATATGGCTCCAGACATCCATCAGAACACAGTCAGGTGTGGACAGAAATAACCCAGTTTCCCTAAATGATCCGTGTCTGATATGGTCTTAGGGGGAATATACTGAGGAGAGAAAGAGGGGGGTGTTTGGAGGCAGATAGCATGAGTGAACGAAGCTGTGTTGAACTCTGGCAGATGTATTCCCCAAAGACAACACTGCCCCAGACTGCTTTTATAAACCTTGGGAGAAATATAGCACTACCTTGCAGACAGGACTACGGCAATTACATAGAAAGACTTTGGCGGGTCTGTGCTCGCGCTAGTGGTCTGATCCTGCAGACTTGGGCTGTATATCACTGTCAATCAAGTCTGCAAATTACAAAACTTGAACTTTGTCACCCGTTTGCAAAATACCGCTCACAAAATATTTTCAGTGTCTCACACCGATCAACGGGGGTCAGCCGTGTGGAGTTTTCCGGAAGGACAACTCGCCGTCCTCTCCGCCAATTAATTCATAATTATATAGCATTTCCTCATTATGCCTTGACTAGCATGTCTACATACGCCCAAATTCACATATACACACTAATTAGATGCTCTTAATAGGACAAGTGAGAAGATTCTTCCTCCTTGCTCGACTCCCTTGCGCTTCCTCCTTTCCTCCCCCTATAGTATCGTGGATCCTCCCTTACTGCCGCACATAAACAAGTTTTTAATGCACGAATCAAAGTGAGATAATTAAATGACAGTCCTAAACATCTGGCTTGTCTTTGTTGTATGGTAACAGGCGAAATAATAATAAAAAAGATTCGCTGGCCTAATGCTTAATAGGCATGCTGTAGCAAAGATTAATATCCAGAATGCTATTAAACCTCAAGGACAGCCTTGAATGATAATTAGAAAATGTAATCATGAGGATCGCCATGCATAAATTGGTGCACACAATTTCGTTTTTTTCTTGCCAGAACGTTCTTGACATTGCAGTGGAAAGGCTAAGAGTGCACGATAACAGGATTTAAAAAAAAATATATATCTCTGGGTTTCTGGCACCCTGTGAGTCCTGCAGTCATCATACAAACACACAATCTCCTGTCTGGGCCTTTTCACAAGCTACATCCTCTCACCGCTGTAGTGTTAAAATCTTCCCGACTGAGCTGGATATATGCAGCGCCTCTCTCTCTCCTTTATTATGTTGTGTAAACTTGCAAAAATCTTGTACAGTTTGTGATTTGATAACTCAACTCGCCATGCCTAATGAAAACAAAAGCACCCTGAGGAGGAGAACGCCAATTCTTGAACAACGCTTATGAACAATGGGAACCACAAATTGTTTGTGACTTCAGCATGTGCAATAAATATACAGCATGCATGAACAAGATTTTAAATCTCTTGATTCTCAGATTTTTTTTTTTTTGGTAATCTCATGTTGTAATCTCAACAACATTTTAAACTGTGTTTAGATTCGCCAGCATACCAAAGTCTGCAATACAAATTATCATCAAATTCTTCCAAAATCAAAGTATCTGAGCTATGCTGTCCACATTTGAAGCTTTATTCTCTTACTGCATGTTAACACTTGTCTTATTCGTGGCTAACAAATTAAAAAAGAAAATGTGTACTGAGACATAACTCTCTTGAGAACTCCATTAAAACAGCAACATTTGAACATCAGTAGAACATCAATTCGTATACAGCATACATAAACAATTTCAACCACAAATGTTTAGAAGAGATCTCAAAAATATCTCAAACTGAGTTCAGATTTGCCAATATACCAAAGTTTGCTAAATAAATAAATAAATACATAATCATATCACATTCTTCCAAAGGTTATGCTTTTGAAAAGCTATGATGGCTATGCTATCTATATTTTATTGTATAGCTAACCTTTTGAATTCAACAATTGTCTATTTAGTGGCTATTAATTTCTTCTAAGGGATTTAAGGAGAATCATCTGAAGCATAACTGAGAAACTGGATTGGAGGACTGGATTGTGGATTTGAGCCACAATTCATTTTAGCAGACTTTTGGAAACTTTGGACATACATACATACATACATAAATATGTCTCTTCTCAGAATTTATTTATTTTTTAATGAGAAAATTCCAATTCCACAATAGTCAAAATTATCTGTGCTGCATTCCACATACATTTTTTTCTCCCTGTACTCTTATATTGTACTGTATTTGAACAGTTGTGGATATTTATTTCTTCTGCGGGATCCTACGAGAACCATACAAGACAAATAAATGATACTTGAATGAAACTAAGAATTCTATTAAATCGCCTGAGCTAAAAAAGAGCAGCCTTAAACAGCATTCATTGATTGATTCATTTTAGCAGACTCCAGGAAAATACATGCAATACATAAAATAAATATATAAATAATAAACATATAAAATGATAACCATCTCATGCTTCTCAGATTGTATTTTATTCTGAGAAAAAGGTTAAGTCTGCAATAGGCTACATTATCTGTGCTGCTATCCACATTCATTTTATAGCTCTATACACTTACTCAGTGTGAGCAATTTGTGGCTTTTTTTATTTCTCCTAAGCAATTTTAGGAGAAACATCTAAGATAAAACTGATAGTTAAATGACACATCACGGAGAACTCCATTAAATCCATCAGTGCTATGAAAGAGCAAACTCTGAGAGGGCAGCACCTGCTTCATCAGGCTTTGAAAGAGCGTGCAATAAACATGCATGAATCAGAACTCATTTTTATTACTCTTTTGTCCGCGCTCGCCCTTGAGCTAAGACCACGGATGGAAAACGTGTCATAGAAACCGTTAAATCAATCAAGTCGATCGTGGACCATGACACTGACAGATGGAGATTTATCTAGATCTGTCCGTCAAGGTCACGCCAGAGACTTGTGGAGGTTTTTTGATGCCAGCTGCTGATTACATGCCCCTGAACGATCAGTAGGACCCTCACTCTAAAAATCTAATGTGGGCGGCACTTTCCATGCATAGACACAGACCATCTCAGTTCGTGCCAATGCGTGATTCATACCGGATGTGAAAGACTCAGCTTGGTCTCGTGAAAATAAAAATCATGATTAATTCATAAGGACTGAATGTCAAAGTTGTGCCCTACCAGCTAACCCTGGGCTGCATTGAAACATATGTCTGAATGGAAGATTGGGCCACAAAAGGCCTCCTCTGCTGGGGCTGACAAAATTCATTACTCGCATTAGCGAAGCCAGCGATTCCACAAATTACAGTAGTCTGCACACTTTCAAAAGCTGCCTAGTGAATAATTCCTAACTTCATCCATATCTCATTAAGTAAATTATTTGATTCGTATTCACAAGACAGTGTTCATTTACATGCATAACTTCAGTCACATCAAATAGAACCAGAGCCCTAATTTGCTCTTAGACAAAGAAAGGATTCACTTTGTTCGCCGAGATGGCCTTGCTGACACCGTGTGTGTTTTATTTCTTCACCCCCCCCCCTTTCCCAAGCCTCCCCTTCTTTTCTTTTCTTCGATTCAGATCGTTAAACAAAATCGCCACAACAGTATGAATCTGCTCCTCGTTTGCTCACGAGACCCCTGGAGACGTTTGCCGTAATGAATGCCTGTCAGGCTAACCTGGCTTCTTGGCCTTTTCCTGCAGACTCCTGAGCTTTCGTCAAATGAGGGAAGAAAGATTTATTAGGATTAACTTCCAAAAGCCAATAAATTATGCATACATCCTCCAAATTACCTATCAGAACTAGTCCTGGAGGAGAGACCGCTTCAGTGAGCCGCTGCCTTTGCTTCTTTTACACTAGTTTGTGTTATAGAAGTGGAAGTCCTCAGCGTTTTGTGTTTGCTATCGATTTTTGGCTATTGCCGCATTTTGGGGGTTAACCGCAAATCTATGCAGAGTGAGGAAAGTAAATGTTTAGAGACGTTCGGGCTAATGAAGTTCATCAATTAGAGACCACCGAGAGACTGCTGTGTGCTAAAATTTGAGTCACTTAATCCTTTGTGATCAGCCAATATTAACGATTTGTTTTCTAGTTAGCCAACACGATTTTAGTCAGCTAACATAAATTTACAGAGTGCCTTTGTAGACTGTGACACTTGACCCAGAGGTAATTTAGCAAACACTTAGCTTTGTGCTGATATTGCGTTGAAATGGTTTCTTAATGATCTTTTTCTATCCGTCACAGGCCTCAAGAAGACAGAATTTAGGAGAATTAAGGATAAGATGCCCCATTTCGTCGCTCCCACCATTCAGCAGTATCTTCAACGCAGAGCTCTGTTTCTTAATTGATTCCTTATCCAGGACTTTCCAGGAGTGATCGGATACAATGATAATCAATCAACTTACTTTCCTCCTGTTGTTCTGTTTGCTGGGCTGGAGCGATGCACTGATCCGGCCGGTGCCTGGAATTAGCACGTCGGATCGGGATGGACGGACGCTACAACGCACTAAACGAGGATGGATGTGGAATAGTTTCTTTCTCTTAGAGGAGTGGACGGGGACTGGAAAGCAGTATGTTGGAAAGGTAAGGGCTGTTACTGTGTGTGTGTGTGTGTGTGTGTGTTTCAGAATAACTTTGAGGAAGTGGACATATTTTCAGAGTGAATCATGTGTAAGTGGAGACGATTTTTTTTACCCCTTATGAAAAAATGCCATGGCATTTCAATGGAGGTTTGGATGTGGTTCCAGGATGATAATACCATGGTATTATTTCAAACACCTTACAACTATGGTAAAATGGCATACATATGAATACGGTAAACAAATAATACCATATCAAAATAGCATGCTTTTCTACTTACTAGTACTTTTTCTAAAGGCTATTTTAAGCTTTTAGCACAACATAAATGTGCATATAAAGAGTGCATTTCAAGATCTGTGCATGTTCCTTCTAGTGGGTCCTGGGTTTGATTCCCAGGGAATGCATGAGCTGATAAAATCTATACATTTAATGCAATGGATTTGAGCATTTGCCAGTTGCATAAATGGGAATCGAACCCACAACCATGCGGTGGCTAGCATCATGCTCTACCAGTGAGCTACTGTGCAGTATAATATGAGCTATTTCAGTCAGTCTGACCATTAACACACAACACAAACAAGCACAAGGGTCAGTTACAAACATCAAATGAACTCATACCTAACGGATAATGCTTTCAGCATGATAGCTAATGATGTATTAGAACAAAATCAATGCGAGTGTAGGCTATTAGAATGAATCGATGTGTGGGATACAAAGTGCCATAATAACCCTCTTTATATTAATGACCACATCGTGATGTTCCAAAACCGATATGCTTGTGTGGGTTTAATTCAAAGGCTTACATTATAACCGTGACCTGATAATAAGAGCTGATGTCCCGGCTTTCAACATGCACGACTGATGCATGTTTTTTTTTTTTTTTTAGCTTAGATCAAGTCAGAACACAAATCAGTCGAGAGTCAAACCTCTACGCACCATTTGTTGAAAAGTGGGCCTACCAGTGCAACACGATTCGGTTAAAATAAAAAAAAAAAGCCGAAGTGCAACTCTCGTGGCGTTAGATCAGAGCGGAGCGCTTGTCAAGTCGCCGGCGTCAGACGGCAGAGATGGCAGCAGTTACATCCCCGGTGCATGAGAGGAGGGGGTCGGCCAATTTTACGTCAAAGACGTCTGCTTTCATCACCGCATTCATCTTCTACAAGTAAACATGTGATAGGTTCGGGGTGGAGAGAGGAGTGGTAGCACAGACAGATCAACATGTCTTCCTCTTATGGTGCAGGGTTGTTTTTGTGGGGAATAATGTAAGAAAAGAATCATGTGCAACAGAAAAGCGAGCAAGCAAGAGTGGGTGAGAAGAAAACAATAAATCAATCAAAAACGAGAATGAGATTCCGCCCTCATAGCGTTGCATTTTACGTGACAAGGCAACAAAACAGCGCTGACTGCGAAGAGTCCATCGGTTGAGGAAGTGTCAGACTCAGCAGTGTCCTGGCCTCGTTCCCAGAGCTTTGATGCTTCTCTCTTTTCTCTAGCTCTCTCTCCTATCTCTCCCTCTTTTTCTGGCTGCTGCGTTTCTCTGGCATGACAGCAATCACATGCTTTTGGCCCACTTCTCATCTACCGTCCACTCTCATTCCCAATTAAAGTGCCAGAAAGACACAGGGCTCCCATAAATACTGTAGGAGGGCGAGGGAGAACGAAACACCCACATGCTGGTTCGGGGAGACCACTGTGGAGCGACTTGATCATCCATTCCATCCATCCCCCATTTCTTACTAGTGTGTGTGGGTGACGCGTGAGAACTTGTGTAGTCCAATAGACGGGTACTTAGAGTCCCAGCGAGAAGCCATCAAAGCCATTGATGGTTCTCCTCATAAAGATAATTCAGCAACCTTTACAGAGCCTTGTGGGATACCATATTTATGTCTATCCGAGCAAGACCTCCACTGGCCCCTGACAAAGACAAGCCCTAAAAGAGGATTTATTTTCCAGTGTGGAGCCAGAAATAATCCATAAAATGGGAAGAACATTTCCAATAAAACAACAGCGCTCTCATCGCTTGCTTCTTGGCTCTTGTTCTATTGTGTAGTCTATAGCCATTCGCAAGACACATCTATATCATGCGACTAACAAGCTACAGTTTCAAGTAGTTCAACAGTCAAGCCACTTTTTAAAAGTAGCTGCACAACAAGATACAAATAAAAAGTATGTTTTTTGAAATCTAGATTTATTTAGTATATAGTAATATATTGCAATGAGGAAAATATACATCTACAATAAATACCACCAATAAAACCAGAAAACATTAATTTATAATAAAAAATTATAAATAATTTACATAATAATTAAATGTCACATTATGTCATATATACACACACACATATATACACACACACACACACAAACACACTATATGAATAATTCACAGTCACATCGTCATCACTGCAACTGGGATGAACATGAAAGGGAGAAATTCAATATTAGCACTCATATTCTACAGAGCAAATACACTATAATTTATAATTCAGTTAGTGTATGATATGTGAAAACAGCTTCTGCTTTGAATTAATATGAAGCCGCATCAGGCAGAAATGCAAAACAAACAGGATTAAAGAGGCAGTTTTCGAAATGTAATTTCGTGATGACTCAAGCTTAAAACTACTGTGAATTATTTCAGCTTTTAACAGCACACACCATTATATTTATAAAAGAGAACACTCCCAATCTAGAAACATCTTACTGGCCATCCATTGGTCACTATGACCGCTCAGACGCCGTGGCCCTGTTGTGCAGCAAGACACTCAGAAGTGCTAAAGTCCACCATGCATTTCGCCGCTTTTGTGTCGTGAGTTTGATGTGGGGGCAGCGGCTCACATGGCGTGTGCCATACTCACTTCTTCTGTAGATGAGGCTGGAACATGAATGATTCGCACGAACATAGACGCATTTCTGTAGATCGGATGCGCATTCCCTTCAGAAACAAATGTAATCCACTGCGAGTTCAGCGGCTCAGATGTCGGGAGTAAATGACGACTGCTGTTCATTATTACATCCAACAACAGAACACCTCAATCGCTTAGGAGTCATTCTTGTCTACATCTGCTCCAGCGGTGAAACAATGGCGGACTGATGACAGCTCACTCAGGGCGGAGCTAAGGTAAGACACCAGTCCAGTCTGTGCTGAAACGCTACTGTCAATCAAACTATCATGGGAGGGGCCTGTCTGTGTGACGTCACACAGACAGGCATCTGAGATCGGCTCGATTTGAGAAAGGGGAAAACATTTAACCAGATTAAAAAAAAAAAACACTGGGTGGATTTTTATCATTATAGGGTGGTTGTGTACACACAATGCCAACACACATTTCAGTTCAAACAACTTGTAAAAGTGCATGTAGCATTCTATGACCCCTTTAAATGTTAACTGAGATAACAGATGTATATCAGGGGCATCGCTACATTTAGTCCGAAGGTCTTTTCTGAATAGAATGATTTGCAAGTTAAAAAGGTCACTTTTTAATAAGCTATGTATGGGCCACTAACAGAAAAGCTACAATACAAGTATGTCAATTTAAAGTACAATCATACCAAATATTCATTAAATTTGTCACAAAAAAAAAATCACTGTAATCACTGTGTCACACTTCTCGGGATGCAGGGAGCAAGGAACGAGGAAACACGGAGATAACTTCAATTCACAGTCTTTAATGATCACATGGGGAACGTAGGAGACACTGGAACACAAGGAATGACGTTTGAGGACCGACAAACACTAACTGAAAGGACTGGGGCTTTTAAACACTGGGTGATTGGGAAAACACAGGTGCAAGGAATGACTAATTAAAGGGAACACAGCACACCTGGGGAGGGAAAACACAACACAAAGAGTCCAGGGGCGTGACA